GAATCTCACAATAAGACTACTGCTCAGCTTCCAAGGATCCCATTGCTCATAAAGATGTTTACACATTGCACTGACTTTATCCACTCAGTGTTAAGGTTGTACTCAACTGACTTAAAATTGACCTCTACTTTTAAAAAAGCAGAATTATTTTAAGATTAACTGCAACTACTAATTTCCTTATTCTCTCTCTGCATCTCTGCATTTCTATGTGGTAACCTTTACTTATCTCACAGACTGTATTAGAAAAACACATTATCAGACATGGAAAAGTACCTAACAAATTTTGTTGCATTCATAGCATTATAGCACAAGTATGAGCTATTCTATTTCATCTCTCTAAACACCAAATATAAAACTCTTGTACATAATCATTCTTTGCTTTTAAAGTACTTCTTTCATCATCACAACACGCTTGCTATACTTACACAAATTAATGGAAGTTTGAAACTAAATATAACAACATAAAATATTTATTCGCACAAGACCTTGCATAACCAAAATGCTTTTCCTCTATTGTCTATAGTATTTTACATGTTGAAACCAGACTAGTTACAAACACAAGATTTTTGAACAATTGTTCTTGTACAAGAAAAAGCTAAAACAATCAAAATCAGATACATGTCTTCTCCACCAAAATGTATAGCCAGATGTATTTGAAAATAAAGCTCAGTGAACTCTATTTGTTATATGTTATTTTGTATTACCTGTATATGTACACATTGCACAAATAGGTACTTTCTCTATAAAAATAATATAGTGCATACATTTAGCAACATAAAAACACAGTGAGGTATATCTCATATGTACCAGCCTGTTTTAATTGATTTTGGTCTAAAATTTTGTGAGTATCATCTCTAAACAAACAAGCAAACAAGTTTAATTTCTTTACAAGAGCAAAGTGAGTTTTGAACTTTTCTTTATCATGGTGACTAGTTTATCCTAGCATGAAAAAAAGTGAAATTGCTCCAAACAAATATGTCCAATATTAAATTTCATTTCTAACACTGCTTGTCTTCAATATTACACCAGACCCTCCCCTATTTGAAATAAACTGGTTACTCTAGAGACACTGGTAACTGCCATATAAGAATACTCACAGTGTAATCAGTGTATCTTTTGCTTTATAATTTATTCTATGATTTTCTTTGCATTGCATAATTAACAGTTTTAATTATAGTTTTCAAAAACTGTGCAAGAAATTAAGCAGAAATGTTTATATAAGTGATAGAATCAGGATTACTATGTATCATAAGACATATTGTAGAAATGCATTATATTGTAGGCTGTTATTGGTTTATTTATCGCTACTCAAACCTATATTTATTTGTATAAATTTGATGAAAAATAGAAGAATAATTATTTTTCTATACTTAAATAAGAATTAGAACATTCTATTTGCTCACTAGAATTGAAAAAGAAAAGGGATGAAAAGGCAAAGCAAACATGTATGTTAGCACTTTTCTCTTTCTGCCTTGCAAAAGAAGGGAAAAGAAAAAAAAAGAAAAAAGAAAAAAGCTGTATCATAAGAACAGACCAATCTCTTTTCTTGACTACTTACTCATCTCATTCCAATACTCAGTTTTTAACCTGGTTATGATCTAATTCTCTTCTCTTGGTAGGCTAGGATTCAATTGAGTTAAAGATTTTTAAACTCACTGCCAGTCAACCTTATCATGAACTTTCATTATGTGCATGTAATTAATTGGGTCCAATGAACAATATCAGCACTGAGTTATAGACTTTTCCCTCCACCATATAATTAGAATATAATTACCCACAGGATATCAGAATGATGCAAAACCTTTCCTCTAAATGCGCCCTCATTAGGAAACAAGTCTCAATGTACATTTATTCAATCAGTATGAATTAATTAAAACGTTACTGAAATAAAAGAGGGTAGCATTAAAGTGTATCTGACATCTATTAAAAGACTATCACTTGAGATCTGCACACACAGTTTATAACAAAACTCATTTAACTCAAGGAAGAAACTTTACCGTACAACAAGCTTTACCTACAGTAAACAGAAAAGTGAAGGGAGGGGTTTTAAAACAGGCAGACTACATTCAACTGAACCATCTTAAATCTACTGCAGGGAGCTATGAAAATGTTCATAGGGCATCAAATTCCAAAGGTAGCCTGGACCAGTACATGTTTCTCTCAAACTATATGTAATGCAAGTTCTCAAACTACCTGAGTTACACTATGGTTTCCTTTTTCAGCTTATCATAATTACGAATAAAACCCAGCAAGCTCTATTTTGGGGATTTAAATGTGGGAGTCCTTTTATTTAACATATACTTTTCTAATTTAAATATCTAATTTCTAGGGGCAATGAGAGTCACTCTATTTTACGATCATCTTTTAGAGGAACTCTCCATTTTCTAAACAGACATCTTATGAGATGAATGGCAGAAAACAGTTCAGCTTGTCATTTTGTCTTATCCACAATTCTTTTTGGTTCTTTTAGGGTCAAAAGAGATGTTTTCTTTTCTGATATCACCAATTACCCTGCTACAAAAGTCCCTTTCCTTCCAGATATAAGTAGCACTCTCAGAATACCACTCCTTAGGTGACCTGTGAAGCTGAATGTGTGTCCTGGATGAAAAACCTGCTGACTGTCAGGTTTATGAATAAAAACATCATTTTTATTAACAATCACGTTTACTAGTGTCTCTCTAGAGCATTTGGATACAAAAACATTCACTGCTTTGCTGTTTTTTCTAGAGTGCTTGTTTCATATTCACTAAAGTACTGCATTTATCAAAAGGAATCCCCATAACAGGAAATGGTAGAAAGTAATTAAAAAATTACAAAGATAAATAATATGTACACTGTAATCAATCATTTCTAAGAGGAATTCCTATTAGCCAGGTCACTGATGTATTATTTGTAATTTGAGTAATCTCAGGATTTTAATGCATTTTTGCAAGAATTTACTAAAGAACAAATATACTATGAAAATATGATTCCCATTAAATGACAGTAAAACACACTTTCGATTCTTACTGATATATAAACAGTGCTGAAATACATGTTTCATGTTACATTATTAGTATGTAATAGTGAAACATAACTCTGATACAGGAAAAATAGTTACTTCTGCTTATGCATTCAAAATTTGCAGATGAAACAAACCTATTCAAGGATGATTTTGACTCTAGAGTGGTTTTATATATCCTCTAAACAACTTAACTAAACTCCAACTGTGGAACGAAAATGGTAATTCCGCTATATCTCTTCCTCTCCTGAAAAGAAAATGGAGTTACACAAACATAATTGAAGATGAAATTTCATGCAGAGGCTTCATTCATTCATATAAGAGTGGCAAGCAATAAATAACAATCAAGCAAGAACAGTCCAAAACATGATTTCTATACATCAACTTTTAAACTATGATCTAAAAATCATGAAAACAAAATAAGGAATGCAAAATGTTATTATTCAACAAATTTAAAATGTTACAATAATTACTCAGAACATGGCCTGACAACACCAATATATCATAAGAAATGAACTAGAAAACCATTGTTTGTACTTTTAATAAATATTTTTAAAATCATATAAATACTAAAAAGAAAGATAAATACTAAAACCAGCTTTCCATTGCTTTACCTCCATTTACAGCAATGGAATATTCCCAATTTACTCAAGTACAGGATCAGAATCACATTGATGAATATCCCTTAAGATATTCATAAACAAAGAACCAAAGGTGTTAATCAGAAGTAATTTACTTTAAGCATGAATATTATTTTTAATTATCAAAAAAAAATGTTTTGGATTGGTAGGTAAATTTTCTTTTTTTCCTCACTGCCATATGCTTTCTCAAGGTCAAGAGTTTATTTTTATTGTGAAGTGTATTTAAAGTAAGAAGAGCACACATGGCTGTTCTGGCATGAATATGAGGATGTTATGACCTTTATCTGCATAAAATATCTAATTTAATCTATGAAGTTCTGAAAATCTTTTCTCATGATAAACTGCTCAGCTTCTTCAGTATACCCTACATAGAGCATGCATTTTATTTTCATTGAATTGAGTTATTGTTTTTGTGGACAGAGAAATTTATTGTCCACTACTGCAGAATAAAATATACCATAATGTTGATGCATAGCTCACTGCAAGACCAGCGTCATCATTCTAGGTAACCTCCGGCTTAGATCAGAGACCTCAGCATCACAGATATACAATATGCATCCCAAGCAAAAACTGTCCATAAGAATAACTTCATTATTCTGGGAAGCTGGATCTATAAAAGATGTAAAATGTAGTGTTCTGCCTATACAGTTTCTGGTAAGTACAGTCTGACTAAGTGATAAAATCTGAGTCAGCTTCAGTTACAGTATGCCCTACAGAAAGTTCATTGTCACATAAAGGAAAGTGTAATATGCAGCGGATAAAAGTGATATGCTTCTTCCTAAGACTATCCATTTTTTGGTAGGATTATCTATTGTGTTCAAGGTTTATAAATTCCTGTGGAAACAACTATTTCAGCACCAGTACTCAGTACCATCCCAGTTTCATCCTTTACCTATCACAGAGGATTTCTTCAGAATGGAAAATACAAACAACTCACCAATACTACTGGGCAGATTGATGTGGGTGGTAAAATATGATCCTTCAGAGGTCCACAGTCACATTCAGGTTTTAGATGTGAAGCACATTTATTATGCAACTATGAAAAGACAGGAAATGAATATTCATCTTTTTACATGTATTATCCAAAAAACTTCCTAAAATATAATACTAGAACAGGATGAATTTAGTTTATTAAAGTAATCTAAAAACTATTATAGTACTACAAGGGAAATGAAACACTACAGTGGGAAACTGGAAAAAAAAAACATTGGACTTGAAAAAAACAATCAATTTATCCTGAAATGACAAAAAACAATGGATCAAAATGCCTTCCAGTTTGAAAATGCTATATTTGACCCAGTGTAAAACAGCCTTACATTGACAGTAAAGTGACATCAGCAGTGACTAACGATACCTATTGGTGAGTAAAACTTTTATTTCATAAGACAAATTCTTACACTGAGTCAGGCATTATAGTATTATTGCTGTCCTTGTCTTGCAAGAATTTGGGAAAGCCTTTGGCACTATTGATATAAGGAAAAATTTTTTTAACAGTGAGGGTGACGGAGCACTGGAACAGGGTGCCCAGAGAGGTTGTGGAGTCTCCTTCTCTGGAGATCTTCCAAACCCGCTTGGATGCAGTCCTGTGCCACGTGCTCTAGGTGACCCTGCGTGTGCAGGGGGGTTGGACTAGATGACCTCTAGAGGTCCCTTCCAACCTTAAGCATTCTATGGTTCTATGATTCTATGATTCAATTATTTTTACATCTGGTTTAATAGGTAGCATACAGTATTAGTTCAACAGGTTTAATAACTGTTATAAAACTTACAGTTCACTGGTTACATCTATAAATCACATTTTTCCAGTGATTGATTCATTTTTCCTTAGATAATTTAACCATGTCAGTATGATCTCCATCAAAAGTAAAATAAAACCTTATCAGTTGCTGATATATAAGCTTTGCCAATAATACGTTCTTCATGAAGTCATCTAGTACAGTTAATGTAGATGTAATGTTTCTGAATTTTGAACTGAATAGCACCTAATATTAGCCTTGTCCATATTCATTTATACTGCAAAGTTACCTTCTCAGGCAGTTACTTAGCAACAGAAAATAAAAGTCTAACGAGTTTTGATTTACTCTGAGTATTAAAGCCCTATTATGAGGGTATTTTGGTAGCCCTGTAATCTAAATCATTTGTCATGATAATTCTTTGCCTCAGGGGTAAGGATACTTGTACCATAATTAATGCACCACAGGCCACGTTACATCAAATAAAAGTATCTTCACACATTCAGTGATAATTAGCAGCTCTGTTACTTGGTGGCATGCAAACTTATGTAAGAAAAAAATAGTTTAATCTTCTTATTAGTCTCTGCTGATCTTTGATAACAGAATTGATGCATAGCAGACAAAAGAAATCGTAGATGATATATGGCTTTAATGAAAATAACATTTGGAATGAAATGAAATAAAATACACGATGTGCACCTCTTCTTAAAAACATTTTAGCTGATTTTAAATACAGATCCCCAAAAATCCTTTACCCTAAACCTAGTTCCTTAGGATATTACCTCCCTTACAATCAGATGCCTGCAAAGTAAGAAAATCTGTATTTGCTTGATAGAAAGCTTGAGGAAAAGACCTTTTACATGATTGTGGAGAAGGACAGAGCTATAGAGATTAAGAAAAGGGGATCACAATCTAGAGTAAAACACTTTATAATAAGACTCTTAGCTCAAATAGTCTCAAAACCCCCCTTTTTTTTTATGTTTTGAAGCAGTCATTGACATCCATAATGATCCTAATTTATATGAAGGAAAAACATTTAAAATGCATTAAAGAATGCATTAAAGAATTGGCTGCATAACATCTAACATTCTTTTCTGTTACAAAAATACTTTCACAACAAGTTCCTGATGTGTAATTGAATTAGAACATGAAAACATACGATTACACTGGATGTGATAATAAGTAAATAAATCTAGAACTTCCATTAAAAAGTTATCTGTTTAAGATTTAAAATATTATTTTTTCAGTAATAAAGAAAGATTTTATTATGAGAGAAGAAAAGCCTAAAAATTCTGCTTAAGTAGAATTGTACAAAAAGCAAGCAGGAGACTGAGAATGAAATTTAAACTGCAGAATTCTTAAAATTTGAAAAAAAATAATTTTAAACTTTTGTATCTAATTTACATTGGAAATCACAGAAATAAAAAAGCATAAAGTTCTTTCAAAAATATAACTTTTTAAAATAAAGATATAAATGTTTAAAATACTGATGAAAGCACAACCAAAAACATGCTAAGGTCAATAATTTTCATATCTGCACATCTAATAACATATGCCTATTTCTTTAATTGGAATTTTGATAGTTCTTCAAGCATTTAAATATGGAGATCGTTATCTCAGATATTTCCAAATAATTTATCTTATTAATTCTCAATGACTTCAATGAGAAACAATTCCTTGGTTATTTCCTCACTGTGTCTCAGTGTTTATGAACGTCTTTCTTTTAAGTCTTGGAGAAATGCCTTTAAAAACCTGGTTCACATTCATATTTAGATACATAAATAGTAGGAAAATATTTTTTTCAGAGGAACTACAGAATTTGCAACTTCCTTTGACTTCCAGTGGGAGCCTTACCTAGCAATTACCTAAATATTCATATGGATTCATATATATAATCTAATCTCAACTAATCTAAACAAGACATGTACATCTACAGCAGAGAATTATTTAGCTACCTAAGGAGAAATGGTCGTTGTCTAATTTGCACATCAATATTTTGGATTGGGTGTTTATTCTCTAAATAAATTATCCACATTTTGACAGCAATCTGGAGTACATATTTGCTTCCTTATAAAATATTGTGTTTAAGTGATCACAACAGTTTATCATTGAAAGTATCCTGGATCTATTTTCCTTGATGATTTTTTCACATTCTTATGTTAAAAAAAAGTCATAAAACATTCAAATTTTTATGTTCAATCCAAACATTCTCTAATGTCTCACTCTCACACTATTCTTTAAACACTGAACAAAATACTGATGTCCGGTAATAATAATAGCAATGGTGATAATGATGACAATAATAACAACAACAAATATAATAATAAAAATCCCTTAAGAGCTCTGAATCTCTCCTCATTTAGATTTAAATCCTGCCTTGCCTTGGAACAGAAAGACTGTCATTGTTCCTTCTAGCATGAAGATTTCACTTATAAGAGTAGTGTTCCTTAAATGTGGTTAGTTCCAGTTACTGCTTACTGCTGAATAAGGAGTACACACAGTTGTATATATTAGACTTAGTGCACAGATTAGGCTTTTACCAAGATATTCCTGCTATCACTCTCAGGCACTTGAAATCATTGTATCCTACCAGATGCCCTCAATTACATTTGTCTGCTAGTACACCACAGATTGTGGTTTTTCCTTATTTAACAGTGACCTTGGCTTTTACCAGTAGTGAAAAATACTTTTATAATCATTCCAATACATATATACTAGGAATTCTATTCTTTAGAATAAATATTTCTGATATTGCCATTTAGAATATTTCTTTAGATTTTCATCTCTCTAACCTGTGCTTAAGGTTTTACTATAGTGTACTCACTGTGATCTGACACCAAACACAGTGAAGTCCAGTCAAGCCTTGGTAACATTTTATAGTTTTGTGACACTTATCACATTTTGTTGGACAATTTCCTTCTACCCAGAAATGGTGCATAACCTGCAACAGAAAAGTGTGGATATACATAGGGTTACTAAATAACAGGTTCATGGCAAAGGTAATGCTACCCTAGACTCACATCTGTATTCTTTTTAGACTTCACGTAGGTTTTGATGCAAGATGCAGGAGCTCTTGAGACACAGCGTTCATGGACTGTATACTTGCAAACTGAAAAAAAAGAGACGAGTTAATAGATGCTGAGGGAATGGTGTTTCTGACTATATTTTTATTAAGTAAATAAGATTACCAGAATGCCACCTCTATATAATCAATCCAATCAGTCAATGAAAACTCAAACTAGACTGCTTTTTCCATAGAATATAAAAGGCCAATTAGTACAGGAAATATTATGCAAGTGAAAAATCCAAGAATGCACTATCATTACATAACAGGAAATGCTTAATTAAATAAGAGCTCACTAAATTTTTTCTCAATAATTCCCAAATGACAAAAATATTAAAGACAAATTGATGACTGCCAAATGTTTTGGTGTCATCTGCTAGTGGAAAGAAATCTATATTTTACAAACTATAGGCATGAGAGCAGCTGGCAAGCACAAAAATAAAAGCCAATGAGTTTATGTTGTTCTTTCTATTGATTTATGAATCTTAACTGGTTGATTAGTCCATTTCCAGATAGCAATTGCTTTCCTGCATTTCATGCAATCATCCCAAGTTTAACTCTTACTTTCCCAAACACTACCTCCAGAGAAGCTTTCTTTTCTAACCCCTCCCCACCTGTTTTGCACAACTGTCTTTTGTGACCAGCTCTGTAAAGATCACACTAGCTGCATTTGGAAAATATACAAATGTCAGGGCACAATGCAAAGCTTTCCTGAGTATAAAACTCTATGAGCATATTTCTGTGATGACCAAATAGCTAACAACACCGTAACAGTTCTTAGAGAAGGAAATAATGTCACTACTTATAGTTGCATTGAATGGAGTCAGCTATTAAAAACTGAGGATGAATACCCTGCATGATATATGTCTTGTGCTTTTGACCTCAAGAGCAATTAAGCACAAAGTGCTTCTAAACACCTTGCTTGCACCTATTACACAAACTCAGTGGGAGGCGTAGCCATTAATCAGACAAACTGCAGGGAGTAACATTGTTGATTGGACCATGGAGGGATGGTGAGGTCCCCTGCAGTTTCCCTGTTGTTTTTTTTTTTTCCTCTCACACAATCTAAAACACAAATAATGAAATCTATAGCAATGCTTTGAAAATATGTAGGAGGAGAAGCTTAGCAAAATGTAGAAATAAGCATTTTGTAGGAAGATTCATGTCCCTTCATGGGTGAAGTAAGTGAGAGGAACATGTGGAAGCTCTTTAGACACTCTCACTGGGACCATCGTTCTCACCAAATAAATGCCAAGCACAATAACAAAGAAATTTAAGAGGTGTATTGCAGCACACAAGATTACAGTGAGGCTGGTCTTTCGGTAGGAGTTTATGTTATACAACAGAGAAAGTCTTCTTTACATATTACCAATAACTACAGAAGATGATGTGTGTTACTTGTTCAACAGAATTTTCTCTAACACATATGTGTCTTAGGTTTCCTCACCAGGATAAAGTAAACCTCTTTACATCACTTTGATTTAAAAGAACACTGAAGGGTGCAATGGTTCAAGTATTGATAGTCAGTTCAGCAGTTAATATATATTCAGTTACTGTAATCAGAATTTATTAATCTGAAGATGTAAGATTTCTGTTTGTTTGAATTGCGTTTAATGAATGTATCTCTCATTCCAAAATATTGCAGCTGAAATTATATGATGTAAAAACCAATAAATAGAGGATTTACATCTGAATTGTGTTTTAAAGTGCTTTGTGGCTCACAGAGGGGAGAGAAATGGCTAATTACAAATTCCTCATTCTTTTAAAGTAGTCTCAAACAAAATGAATAGAACCTTACAGTCAGAAAAGTTCTGACCAACTATGATAGGCTACCTTTAATTCCAGAAATGGAGAAAGTAGGTTACACTAAGAATCTGGTTAATTTATCAAAAAGAAGAATGAAAGGTGACTTGATATCATCACAAGGAGAATACACTGGGTACTAAAGATCTCATCAATCTAGTGGAGCAGTCCATAACATGTACCAATCATTGGAACTGTCTATCAGAAACAGTCAAATCAGAAAAAAATAATAATAATAATAATCAGGGGAATACACTGCAAAGAAAAGATACTGAACATCTATCTCTTGAAACACTCAAATAGAGATGAGATATCTTTTGGCAAAATATGTTTTATTAAGGTACAGGTTATGAGCTGGTCAAACACAGGTTATCAGAACACATACAGACATAATTCAATGAATTGAGCTCTAGTTCAATTTAATAGTCTTATGTAAGTAAGAATAGATGCAGTAATTTTATGAAATTGGACTGGATACCAGCATGTGGAAAATTGGGATCTTGACCATTAACATTAATAAAACAAGAATTTTAAGGAAAATTTAAATTAATATATATTGGAATCAAATACTAAGCTAGTCAATGTGTAATAGAGAAATGAATAATTATTTATGAATATAATTATGAATATAAAAGAGGAAACAACAACCAAATATTATGTTGACTCTTAAACATGATACTTTCTAAGAAAAGAAGAAATAAAAACTAGAGGCAGAAGACAAAAGGGAACATCTAACATTGACAATATTGTAATACAGAAAACTCCCTCAAACAAGAGTTTTGAAAGCCCTGTAGCATTTAAAATGAAACCTTGGGAACTTGTGCATAGAAGAAACAAAGGTAAAAACATCCTTGTCCTGGCAAATAGTACTGGGAAGCTACAAGTTGTTATACAGTGACTGTAACACTTCCAGGAACAGACATATATGCAGATGGAAACTGAAATGCCTATACTCACAAGAACAGCAGAGACCTTGCTTGCCGACTCCTATTAGCATGTTCAAACAAAGATTACAGTAGGCAGGCTTGTTAAAGTGTTTCAGTCTCCATACATGCTGCCCATCATCTTTCACATTCTGCACAAGTCATAAAAGAAACAGATTTCATTTAATAAAATAAACAATGAAATATATAAGTGCCCGTAAAAATTGGAAATTAACTCAAGACTGTAAAAGACAAGCTGTTACTTCATTTAATACTCTGCACCAGATCACAGTAAAATCCTTACAAATACACAAGCAATGATATAATAAAAATACTTCAGATGCTCAGGGATGCCCATGTGTTTCAAAAAAAATACTCAGAAAAACACCAGCCTGTTGTCAGCTCTGCAACGCAGCTCTAGAAATAAAACTAAACAGGTATTAAATTCAAATTAACTTTGAAGCTTATTAAAACAACTTCCAAGCTTTCTCTAAAAATAAATGTGCTGCAGGGTAGAAGGCAAAACTCCCAAAACAATAATAGAAAAGATTGCTAAAACTTCAAAGATCTCTTCCACAGAATGAGGGACATGTATCATTGTTCGGTATCTTACGATTTATGTGAAGTGAGAAATGCAGTTGCACAGTGATAACAGCTACTGCCAGCTTCAAATTATGTTCATCTACCAAGTCTACCAAAATCAAAATCAAAAAAAAAAAAAAACAGAAACAACAACAACAACAACAAACCACCAGATTTAACATTCTGAACCTCTTATGTAAAAATTGAACTGCTTACTCCTAACCCTGTCTTTCTCAGTTAGCAGCAGTTCTATACTCAAATCTCGTATGAATCGACCATCCAGCAGACTGGGACTCACACCTCTGCATCCCACTGTAACTTGAGTTTACAACTAAATTATAAGTCAAATCACTTACAATTATAAAAGTAAGCCTTCAGCTGCACAACTGTCCTCTTCTTTCCAAATGAAATCATTTTGTGACCTCATTGTTATGAAATTGGCTGTGAACATGATGCACAGATTGCACAAATAGTAATTTATGCACAATTACCTCTGAAAATTTGAAGTTTCTCAGCAAGTGTGACTGATATTTATTATTCAATACAAATCACAAAACCTGTTTTCACATCAAACTTAAAGAATTATGAAGAAGCAAATAATCTGTTTGATCAAATATTTCACAAATCCAAATCATCCTGATGATAAAGCAATTGGATTTTCTCATGTCCAAACTCGTCCGATTTTATTTAAATACTTCAAATTCTGCTACATTTCAGCACATGCTGTCTGAAAAGAGTAGCAAAGTACACTGATCACTATCAATTTATTTGCCAAACATGAGGAAAGAAAACCACATGAGCAGCTGGTTCTCATCCAGTTACTGATTTTTCATATCAAACTACAAGAATGTCTACAGAACACAATATGCCTGACTTGATTTTCAATAATACAATGATTTTTACTGATAAAATCAGTCAATGGAAGGCAGAGAACATAGGCTTTAACAAAAAAAAAAAAAAAAAAAAAAAAAAAAAAGAATAGTCATTAATGACAAGTGAAACAAAGTTTACTTCCTCCTCCTGAAAGAAAAATTTCCTTTTATAAGAAAAATTAGCACTCCAAGAAATGAGGAATTTTGGTTCAAGTCAGAACAGAACTTTGAATAACTCCTACAAATTTCTTACAAATGAAAGGAATTGAAATCAGCTGGAATATTTCCCCTCACCCCCTCTCCGCTCTGTTAAGATATCAGGATCAGAGCCTAAGTGGAGTTCCCCTGATATTATCAGCCGGAGCTCAAATGCCATCTCTGACAGCTGGGCAATGTCAGGGTCCCCTTTCTGCAGAAAGAGCACAGCAGATGCCTAATGTGGGATTCTCAGGCTGGCAAAGAGTGTGGAAGTTTTCCAATTTCCCCTGAAGAATCAGAAATAGATTCTGCAGCTGTGGAGCCTGAGCATCCTGTCAAGCTCCTTCATGACTGGCAGCAAAAAGGATGGATGTATTTTAATAAGTGCACTCTCTGACTCCTGTTTCTCTACCTTACAACTCATTCAAACCATTTTTTCCATTATTGTTACATTGCAACATACTGAGTAAGTTTTAAATCTTGTCGGCAAACAGTTATTCATTAAACAACAAAGACAATGTAAAAGTTTCTGAGGAAAAAAGAAGAATGCACACTTTATTTTTAACATATATTTCTCTAGTCACCAACAGATACAGCCAAAAGTCACAGAACTTAAAAAGCAAGCTGATCAGTTTTTATTAGCAAAAATATTTGCTATTTCTGAAAACTAACCCAAAAATACATGATTTTGCATAAAGATGCTCCTAGTCCATGTTAGTTTCATTTACTTTATCATTTCAATTTTATTTTTAAAAGAATGGCCATTCCATGTGAATGTGTCGCTTCTTATTTGAACAGAACATATGGACCATCTTAGCTGGCATTTTCCTTATCAGAACAACAAACAAGTCTTGATGTGGGTGTTCTGCCAATTAAAACACTTAACTGTGTTACAGACAGCAAGTGATGCACAAATCTATTACATAAACACAATACACTTTTGGAAAATAGCAAATTAAATTTTTGCTCTTGTGCACTGCCAAAAATCAGCAATAAAGTGCTGCATATGATTATGTATGTACATAACTTTTTAAAACACTGCCTAGGAAACAGAGACATAATGTGAAACAAAGCCAATGTAAGACTTTAAGTATAAATAAAATCCGTATTTCTGACACATCAGTGCATTTAGTGACATTCAGTCATTTTGTTTCCATATCCTGAAGAGGAGTTTAAAAACAAATAGTCATTAAGAAGATCGCAAAGCAGGGCAGGTACAGTAAAATTTCTTCCTTGCTTCATTATACATCCCTGAAAATGAAGCCTCCATATGTCATACAGAAACATTAGCACATTATGACATACTAGCATTTGGAATACAAGAGTTTTCTAGTCTTGACCCTTCTATCACAGGTTTGTTTGACAAAAAGACCTGATCTTAAAAAGCAAACCACCCATGAAATAGCCAGCCTTAGGATTAGTAGAAAGCCTCATTAAGTCACAATATTTAATCTAGATTGATGTTAAAATACTTCTGTTTTCAAGGTGTTTGTAAATAAAAGTAGCTAAAGAGATTCTAAGGTTCAAAACATGAAAGTCCTACACATGACAAAAGTAAGAAAATATTTGATAAATCTTTATCCTAGTCAAGCATTAGTTCATATAAGAGCAACCACAAAATGCCTGAAATATCAGGCTTCAGTATTTTGTATGAAGAGAGTCAGAACCGAGCAACTTATACGGCAATGAGGGAGAAGAACACTAGGAAATCTGGTAAGTTATCCATGTGCTGCCTATTATTTTTGCTGGATTTGCCTTGGTTTGCTTTGTTTTTTAAAAGCTTACATGAGGAAATCTTTACAGTATTATCTCTGGGCGTCAATCAGGAAGTAGAAAGGAGAGCGGTGTCCACTAAACCCCATGGCATCTCCTTTTAGCACAAAAGTGTTATGTTTCTTTGCTGGACTTTCAGTAAAGGCTTGAAGTCAGGTTTTCTTCTGCTTAGTGGGGCTAGGCAAGCTTTTCTGAGTCTCAACAGATACAGTTTTTGGGAGGGTTCCTCGTTTCAAACTTACAAGCAATCATAGTGGGAGAAGGAAAGAGGGGATAGCCCTGCCTCCACAGTTTTAATCCACACAGCAACCAGGGTATTATCCTGACATCCAGAAATGCTTAAGTAATAAAACACATACAAGAAAATGATGACGGAAAATATAAGAGCAAGCACAGGAGGCGAGAAAGCTTATTTGTTTAAGGCCACTATCATAATTAGCATGTTTTCTTGTCCCTGAAATGACAGTCACCTGTCACCTGCAGAGACAGAAATGCTGCAGAAATTACAGTTTAAATAATGATAAATTTGTGTACCTGCATAAAATACTGTATATTTTACATATCTTTAAAGACAAAACAAGCTAGGGCTATTTCTGACTGAGCTTTTACCAGTCTACAGGCAGAGGAATGGCACTTGCAAACTTCCTGAAAAAAAAGAAAAAAAAAAAGTAGGAGGGTGTCTAGGAAAGTAGGAAAACTAGGAAAAGGTGTCTACATTTTTATTATTATTATTTTAGCAGCTCCTTGCATGAAGTCTTGCAAAGAATAAACGTTCCTCCCTCTAGTGGCAAATCTAGGAAGTGATACTGCTTAAACCACCTCTGACATAAGTACTCCCACTCCAGGAAGGGGGTAGCCCAGAGAGTTACAAGTTACAAATATAACAGTTACAAATGCTTCTAGGATGGCCTGCATATGTATGGCAAGAGCATACGGCTCATTTATTCTTCAGGCTTTTAGAAGAATCATCCAAATATGTCTTCAGGCAAATATTATAAACTTAACAAACGAGGTGGGGGGGGGGGGGGGGGGGGGGAAATAAATAAATAAATAAAAAGCCCAGAACATCCCCATTTATTTCTGATCTAAAAAAAAGTAACTACCAAACTAGTTCTGGGTTTTTGTGGGTTTTTTTGAAGTTCAGACTGTGAGACTCCTCACAAGGCAGACTTAGGAATGCTTTTACGTCCTCAGTTTGCTTCTACTTTCAGATATTCAGAGCTCAAAAAGTAAGTCCAAAATAATATTATATAATAGAAAATACAAAAATAAGCACTCCCCATTCCCGTGGGAGTAGATTTTACATGAATCTATATACGTAGACTCACAGCAAACAAAACGAGTTTGTGTCATTGAGCTTTACCTTGATGCTCCATATCGTAAGTGTTCAGCGTATATCTGCATCAAGTGAGGAGGTGAAAAAGATTGAAGATTAAAATGCGTAATTTAAAAGAAGTGGTCAGAAGAGTGGCCTGGTTTCCTATTATTTATCGTTAAACTTACACAGGTTATGTAGCATTTATTGTTGTTCAATTTTTCTCTTGCATTTTTATAGTACCAGCTGCAGAGCATCGCTGACATCTAGTGGACAGAGAAAAGGGAGCATATTTTTCACTCCTAAACGGCCCAGTATTTTTTCAAACACTAGCTCTTGTGAAAATTATGCATGCCCCTTAGGGCATCTGACACAGATAATAGTGCTACATCACAAAATAGCTATCACAGAATCATTTTATAACAGAAATAAAATGCTTTCATCAAGATATACTGGAAAAAAAAAAAAAAAACACTGTGCAAGTAAGAGACTGCTAGGGAACAGCAGTAGCCAGTGCTCACGCCTGTCAGAAACCCTCAAGAGTAAATCATCAGTATACGCTCTTGTTCCCAATTCACAAAGAATGTTTAAAGCAATGCTAGGAGATCGTCACTGGAGTGTCTCATACTTTACTAGGGGTTTTGACTTGCTTCAATTAATGCAGAAAGAAAAAGATTAGAAAAAGATCAGACTCTTTGAAGGTTTCTGCTATGGGAGTAGAATACAGAGAGTCTAATAGCTGGTCATGTGCAATATGCCATTTTCTAAAAGTGTAATTATCAAGATGAAGGTGTAATTAGCAAAGACATCTCTATCCAACCTGTGCTTTTGGGAGAAAGAAACAACCAATGCCTTAGGAAGCAAAAACAAATTTGGAAGTTGGCAAAGACTGTGAAAATTGCAGACTGAAATATGACATAAGAACAATATGATACAATATTTACTAAATGGGGCCTACACGATACAATATTATTAAATTACATGATACAATATTACTAAATTACATGATGCAATATATACTAAAAAATTCCATTACATAAGTTATTTTTTCCTCTAATTCCATTTTTTTTTTAATGTTTTCAATAAATCTTTACTTTTCCAGAGACTCAGAAGGTCTTGGAACAACTTCCAGAAAACTGGTGTGACTACATGCTTCAGAATAAGAATTACAGATGATAAAAAGAACAGCTTTAGTAGATGTGCTAACTAGCATTCAGCTACTGCTAACTGGGAAAATTACAGTTATCCAGTACAACTTAGAATTTTATCTCTGTATAATCCAAAGATCTACTGTTGCAAAACAAATTTACCAACAGTATGTGTATCTCAATATCTCATCTCTGTAGAAGAAAAAAATAACTACCTGTTTAAATTCCTTGTTTAGACTGAAACTGGTTGTCTTGAAAAACACCAGAATAAGAAATTATTGTTTCTGTCCTGGAACATCACTACAGGTAAAACTCTTCTTTATTTTGAAATACGTTCTCCTTCTTTGACAACTACACATCCCTATGACCACTGCAAGTCTTTTTGTCTTTTTTGTTTGTTTGTTTTTTCCATACCTGGAAGAAACACTCATCTAACAGGAAAGGAACAATCTTGTCTCCCTATACAGGTACACCTGACCTCTTCAGAAACAAAGCACAAATTTAGAATAAAACCAGATCCAGGCACACTGAAGTTGTGTGCCTATTGACTTAAAACCGCCAAACTTGAGACATTATAGTTTAGGACTGGAGATTCCAGTACTTGAAAAAGAAACTGCAGTGACCATTCTTTGTCACTGTCATACTGGAATGGCACTGAAACTAGTTGCTACTTGGTTTTATTGCCTTAATTCACAATAGAACAAAAAAGTACTTGGCTAAAGCCAAAAGACAGCAGGATTTTTTTTTTTTTTTTGTATTGAAAATATACCTCGAGGAGCAAGGGAACTTGCTTCATATTAAAAGGCTGACATCAGGCCTGAGATCAGGCTCAGACAACCTGATATTTCTAATCATTTTTTTCAACATTGAAGGGTACCTGGACATAAGAAACCTAAGGCTTCTTGTTGCCTGTATTCTCACAAGCTTTAAGCTATCAGGACTTCATCATTTAATTACTGGGCCCAAAAGAGTAATAGTGCACCAAATGAAAAGACTGGTTTTACAACAGCAAATGTATCACAACAAGTTGAGGCCAACAGTTTACAGAAAACAGTAATGGACAGGCATTAAAGATTGATTAACTTTTCAGTCTAAATACCTAATTTGAGTTATTTCAACCTGTGTAAAAGCAGTAGAAGTAACTTTTTGCTGTTTTAATGGAAAATGTGAATCTGACTTTTCTCACGATTATTATGTAAATGATTCAAGAGATCAAGATATCTTTGAAACATGAAAAAAAAAAAAGGGAGCCTTTTTAGAGGATGGTTTTTATTCCTAGTAAATCATTAAGAAATGACTAGGGACACAACTCATGGTTCTCTAGATAATGGCATCATTCATTTTACTCCAATGTAAATAACTAAAAATAGGCTTATTGATCCAAAATATAATTTTGCTTAGAACTATATAGACGCCTAAAAACAATTATGTTTCTTCAACAGATGAAAAAATGGAAATGGTCTTAATGAGACCAACACTAGCCCATGGTGGTACTGTTCATAGGACTCTGCAATTTTGATCACTGTGTTTGCTTATAAGTATTTGTTATTTTCTTAGTAAAAATACTTAAAAGAATAAATTAGCAAATATATGTTTATACTGCTTCTTTACATTTACATAGCTTTTGCTTTAATAGAGAAATAAGCCTCTACAGAAGGACCTGCTTTAATTTATCATAGAACTTAAGCACCTTTATATTCAGCAAGTATCATGTCCTAAAATAACTAAAACACTCATTAAAAAACATTCATACTGCAAATGCCCAGTAGTTATCTCCTATACTGATTGTTTAAAAGAAAGGGTTGCTGTTTGTCTAGAATCTGCAGAAATAATAAAATACAACCTGATATAGATTTGGTATTTCATGGTAGAAAGATACCTGAGCTTTCTGTTTCTCCATCTCTAGAATTAGGAAATCAATAATTGCAGTGTTGATTGAAATGTGCCATAAAGTTATCCTCAATTCAGATATCCAGATGGAAATTTGATTTTAAAAAGTATGAAGTACACTATTTTGCAAGAATTTCAGATCTTCCGCTAAGCATATTGTACTGTTGCAGATCTTCTTTTGGAAAGTTTCAGTCTTTGCAAAAACAAGATACTACTGATTGAGTGACTGCAGCAGTCTAGACTTAGTTTGGTTAGTAGCAGTTAATGGGGAGAGTAAAAATTATTTATTTTTATTATCCTCCAATTGATCAGAAAGTTGAATATTCTAAATAAAAATGTTTTATATCAAATCACAAAAAGTACTAGAAATATATCCCAATATACACATGCTGAAACAATTACAGACAGCAGGTGGCACTGGCAACATGCCAGTGTTAAGGCACCTGAGTTGAATTTGCATAAAATTGATCATATTGTCTGTTTTTTATCTTTATTGTGAAGCTGTGTAAAGGTAGAGAGAATAAGCTCTTCTTTCATAACACTCTACCATTTGGTGTAAGTGCTCTCTTTGATATTGCTGCTTGGTATGGTTTACTTATTTATGGAGAAGACACAGGAGCTCTATTCACAGGGATGCCCAGTGGCAGGACAAGAGGCAATGGGCAATGGTCACAGGATGCTTCAGAGGGGACTCCATCCAGATATCAGTTAAAAAAAAAAAAAAAAAGAAAAAAAAAAAGACCTCTTAGAGCAATCAGACACTGGAGAAGGTTGGCCCATGAAATGGTGAAATCTTCCTCACTGGAAATATTCAGGACTTGGCTTGGCAGGGCCCTGGATAACCTAATCTGAGGCTTTGCCTTAAGCAGGAGGTTGGACCAAATGAACTCCAGAGGTCCTTTACAGCTTTGACTCTTCTCTGATTCACTATGGTTATTCAACACAGCACAGCACCATACAGAGAAGCCTAGACACTGCTCCAGGCAAGTTGCTACATAGACAGAGGAATTAAAGCATACTTATATTTTGACTCTTAGTCAATACGTACATTCTCTAATCCAAGAAGCACCAAGAGAGGGATTGTTGTCATTCCCCCCTGGATCCATTCTTCCAGAGACACAGTGCCGTCATGATCATAGTCAATTTCTTCCATCATTTCATGGAGGATCTACACAGTTTTAATGAAAATCCTCATAAATTTCATATCCCAAGAAAACAGTAAGAACAGAACTCTGATCCCACATCCATGTACAAACAGTAAGGAAAATAGAGTTAATATGTCATCTTTGGAAGAAATGTACTAAAATGACTAGTGATAGTTGAGAAGATGAAACTGTATTTTTATTTATGTTTTATTAACACCTATTCACAAACGAAATTGTGCCCCATGGTGTATTTATGATATAAAATACGACTAAGAGACAGATCATCCTTTTAAGAACTTTTCAGGGATATATCAACTGTACTTTCAGTTTAGTTATTAGGTGCACTGAAGTATAGCCTTAAAATTTAGCAAAGAACTAAAGTAGTTCATAGAATAGATTTAATCAGAAAAAAACAGACCCGTAGAAGTGCTAATTAACACTACCATAATGAAGCATAGACTACTATTATAACTGATCTTTCTGATATCTAAAATAATATGTAGGCATTAAACACCACAAAATTATTAGAAATAATCTCTTACAATTTCAAAAATGGGTGAGAAAATGTTTGCTTACTGGATTCAGTTCGGTAACATCCCATTCAAGGTATTCTGCAACATGCATCATTTGAGCAATGATATTTTCGAGCTCCTACGAATGCAAAAAAAGAATAATAATATTTAGTCCAATATTATAATGGCAAATTCTACTGCAAACAGCTTATGATTCAAACTTGGTGCCTTAAATGATACTGTTTTATCAGCAATAAAATATACGGAAAATTACATTTCTAATCGCTAACTGGTAATCAATATGCAATGCAATTGTTACCAAAGCCAAAAAAATCCATTAGCAGTAAAGATCCATTAAGCAATAAAGGAGGAATAATTATAGTATTTATTAAAGCAAACATCTTATTTTGCATAAATGTATTTATGGTTGCAGAAGTTTTTTCTTTTTTAATGTGAGAAAGGTTTGGGGCTCATATTTGGCATGCTTCTTCAGTAGGAAAAACTTATGTTCCTCATCTGATGTGACAAAAGGAGAAACAAAAAACATTTTTTTTTAAATGAATCAATCTCAGTTTTTGTCAGCATTATTTCAAAGTTTCTCCCTATATTTCAGAGGTTGAGGAATCCACTGGGTACAAACGCTATATTAATAATAACAATGAGAAATATTCTAGACAAAAGGGTAAAGCATAAAATCGGCCTCTTGATTAGACTCTTTATTATTATGTTCAAAGGACTCCCTAAATACCAATATCCAATTCAGGAAAAAAACTCTTGAGGATATAAACTAAAGTTGGACTTGAGAAATACATAAGCTGTGTTTGCAGATCTCTTTTTGCATGAGAATTTAGCTACATCAGAGTCTTATAAGCAAAATACAAAGGCAAATTTTTGAAACACTTTTTATGAAGTAATTAGTATTGTGTGAAACCAAGTCTTTCACTTGAAACAAATCCTATTTTGTAGCTTTTATTACTACAGAGATAGCAAGATCAAGCAATCCCTGGTCAAATACATTAATGTACTTTATTTACTTTTCATTTATAAAAGAAAATGTGGATACAAAGCCAATGAGAAAGAAAGTGAATTAATTTGCGAGTAATCTTGCATTGACTAATTCTTTAATGGTGGTGTGATTTCATAATTCAAAAAAAATCTTCAAATTCTCTTGTTATTCAAAACCCAGAATCTCTGAGATAGGTGCACAGGTAGAATATGTTTTAACATTTCTTTTTAATGGGTGGCATTTTGTATAGAAGTGTAATTTTTCTATACTCCGCTGGCGCTTTGAAGTCACATTGTGCACTATGCAGAAACCTTTCCTGCAATAGACATCCTACTTCTCCTGTCCTTGGAATTGTACATACAACTGAACATCATGAAACTCAAAGGAAAAGCAAATGAAACTCAATGAAATGAAACTCAAATGAAAAGCATAGCTGATTTCAGCCTCTCATTTTACTGTTCTTAACAAAAAGTCCTCATGCTGGAAGCCATACATTTTTCCTCTTAGGTGAATACACATCACAGACTGTAGACTACCAGGCATAGTACACAAGTATAGTCTATGGAGGTGAAATGTGGACCTACAATCAAAGGACAGCCTTTGGACTGAAAGAAGTAACAGATTAATCCTTCCTAATTGTACATTTGATCACTATTTTAATGATCTGAAGCCCATCCTATGATTTAAGGTACTTCAAATTCCATCATTCTAAGAAGTTATTTTTACTCAGCAATTGTAAAAATTACATCTTTCTAATGGAAAGAAGGCATGAAGAGGACTGTGTAACCTAATATGGAGACCATTTCTCTTTACCAGGTAATGTTTATTGCAGAAGCTTATGGAAGAGCTCAGAGCTATTTACAGAATAGATGTTGTTTCTATTGAGTACAGTTTATACTGTTTCTACTAATTCAGCATAAATATGAAGTTAATTTGTTATCACGCAGTTTGCTACAAGTATACCATCACTGCAACAATCTACAACATATAAAAATTAAAAAATAAAATTACCGAACTATCCAGGAATCCATTCCCATCTGTGTCATATAAGCGAAACATAACTAAAAAAGAAACAGAAAGAAGAGAGAAGGAAATTCATTTGGAAAAAAAAAATAACAGTAATATTATTTCATTTTAACAAATGCAAGTTTCACAGAATGAGCAGCATTATCATTATTCTCAGCGCTCATCAACCATAAACCAAGGAAATTTCTTGTATTTTGTGAGAAGCACTCAATGACGGCCCCAGACAGTGCCTTCCTGGGAGATACATGAGCAGGCCACGGCAGTAGCATTTTTAACTTGTAGACCAGACAGTAGCTAATTTAATCTGTGACATGGGATTCTGGTTCATCCTAGAAAGGATCTGTTTTCAAAGGGAGCACCACCAAAAAATCCCATCTCTGACACTTTGTGAAATGTATGATAACATGCACCAGTCAAGCAAATGTTAATAACCCTGTTGAAGTTTCAATATTATGCCACTCTCTCCTTTGCAGCTATCACAATTCAACATTGATACCACTTTAGAAATGTGTTCTGACCTGCTAAATGAAACAACAGATTATTATTTTAAGTATCTAGTAAGCCAAATCCAACAATAAACATTACTCACACATGTTAACAAGACTATCATTTTCAGACTACAACCTAAACATGTTCCACCTCTTTGAAAACATGCCCAGACAAGAGGAGCTTCATTTTGATAATGTCCAGAAATAATATATTATTTCATGTTTCTATCATTGCCTGATTCTAGCCATAGAAGCTGCAATATCCACCATCAGCAACACATTTAAAGGCAACTTACTAACTTGGTCATTTGCAGGAGCAGGGAGAAGCTTGCACCTTTAGTAAAACCATTATTATAAAGGCAAAGAATAAAACCCACATGTCTAGGAATACATCACTCTTTGCCCAGAGTCCCCCATAGTGGGGACTGTTTCTCAGGTCTTGCTAAATCCACCTCCTCAATAGTGTCCAGTTTATCCCTAAATGAACTGTTTTCTAAGGAGGAAGAAAAGAGAAAGCCCACCTACAGGGCACTGCGGTTTTTCAACTGATAGCAAAACCCAAGTAAACTGTTTGAACTCTGATATCAGATGTCTTAGGAAACACAGCATATGACATATTAACAGTGAACAATCCGATTACACTGGAACTACAGAAAATGCAGCGATGTCCAACAAATTCTGCAAGATAAGTTTATTACTGTTCTCAGGCAACAACAATACAAGTGATAAGTGAGAGGAATTTCTTAGGAGTTGGAAAGCAAAATGAGGGAAACAATGTCATTATTATTGACTTAGGAAAAAAAAACCCCACACTTAAACAGGCATTTGTCTCAGTGTGCTTGCTTTATATCCCCCATCCCCCGCCATCTTCCCATATTGATCACCTAATTGAGAAAACGAAAAAGTATTATGCCTCTCCTTCACTTCAACAATTTTAGCCAATATGATATGCCCTTAAGAGCTGTAAAGCAAGATTAAAGATATTTACTGTAGAATGTGTTTAAAAGCTACATTAAGTTCACTGTAAATAAAATTTTATTTACATAAATACATAAATTATAGCATAACAACACCTTTTTTTTTTTTTAAAAAAAAAAAAGTGTTTCTTTGCTGGCAATTACATAGCAGAAATGCTTGGGGGAAAAATCATGTTTAAAAGTCTCCACAGACTGTCACTGCTACTATGCTTCTACCAAAGCTGCTTTGAGCAAGAGGGCTAATATTATCTGGCAAAGGTACCATTAAGTATTCACAGTTTCCATAGGGATGACTCACTGAATCACTCAGCGATAAAGTTCAGATGATTCGGTTCTGCTGCCGCCTCCTCCATGATTGAACTGCAGCAATGGAAAGAATCCTCTACAGCAGCTACCACTAGAGCAGCAGTGGTTTTAGCAGCTCCCCGATCTTTCTTCATTTGAGAGAATTCATTTTGGAATTTTTTTAGCATGAGTCAGCAGTTCTCATCAGTTATTTGAAAGACATTAGCACAATTATAACTTTCACCTTGGTAGCAAGCAAAGTTTCTCCAGTTACATAGGCACTACATAGGGATAAGGCTCAATCCCAGTTCTTTGCTGATGTTGTGTTTTGAATAACAGAAGGATTGATTACAGAACATGCCTGTAATCTCTTTTCTATTCATACGCTTCTAAATATTCACGTTCTTACTGATTTACCCAGTCTGGGAGAAAATAGGACAAACAATAAAAAGTCCTGAACAAAAATCCCCTTGCAAGCGACAGAGCCCGGAGTTGGGCTTTCATATTCATTTTCAAATGCCCTAACATAACTAGCCTGGCTGATCTAGAAATGAGACTGTACAGTTTACCTTTTATAAGGAAATAGAAATGCATTAAGGTTACCAAGATGAGAACAGTTCTTGCACTGCTGAACTTCCAAAGTTCAGGCTGACATACCCCTATAACTACAAGAGTTGGAAACTATGGCCTTTAGAGTAGAAATTGAGGAATTCATTTGTACATAGACACACATACACAATGTAGGTTGAATGCACTTTCTATTTTCATGACTGCAAAAATGTAAAAGAGAATCAGGGCATCTGGAAGCCTGTGTTGGGATGGAAGGGACAGAAACTGAATAACTTACAGTCTTGATGAGAAGTGATAGCAAAAAAAGCTCAGCTCATAATTCTTAGAGTTTCTTTTTATAACTGTGCTGAGTGCACAGTTTAAATGTACATTACAACTTGTAAGCACATAATCTTTGTGGAGTTATGGTGCCTGTGCATGTTGTGTTCATACCTAGAGCCCTTTCTCTGAATGGCCTCACAACAGGACTGTGCCTCATGTCCCTAATAACTCTATGGCCATAATAATGCTCAAAAAAATGCCCTAACTAATAATCTTCCTGAATATGTGAATTGTGTAACAACAGTACATTTATTTGATCTAGCTCTCTCTCTTAAATAATAAAAGAACATAAACAGTATATTGCCTATGTACTTCTGCAAATGGGAATTCCATCCAACGTTCCCTGCCTGAAAATCACTTTCTGCTCTACCTCTCCCTCTTTCAATTGTACCAATCAATTCTTGGCTCCAGTGAAGCAGCCAATCTCCATTTCATGCAACACTCCAGGCTTTAAAGGTCTGCTTGCACAGCTTGCTACGAACAAAGAATTACTATATGCCAAGCTGAATTCTAGAAACTTCTTTCTTTTTCTTTGTATGTATTAGGAATGCATATTTGCACATACAGCATCATATTCTCACTCTGTGACACCACACTATGATATTATCTAAGGGTTGAACCTCATAATCTCTGCTGAGGAAAAACTGCCAGTGATCTTACACTACAAAGTCTACCATCTTTGAAGTTGCAAACTACAAAACAGGAAGATAGTTCGAAAGCATAAAGTCACTTCACCTGGTAATGAACTTCTCTTTCCAGCAGATAGAGCCTCATGTCTGCATTTCCTGCCATGCCGGGTATTTACCTTCCATACAGCCTCGGAATCTGATCCCACAGCTCTCCAACAGACAGACCAGCTATGTATATCAAAGTAGATTCGGTCTTAATAAGGACTATAGGACTGGCCTGATTGGTTGTCTACCTGGCGCTAACCAGTTTCTAAAACTCCATGGTGGTAAACAAAAATTTTCTTCGTTTTTTTTCTTTGGATTTGCAGATCAGTATCAGTGAATCAGGCCCCTAATTGACAAATCAAGTCAAACACTCTCCCCTAGCAATGGCACAAATCTGGATATATTTTTTTTTAACTTTCTGATATTCATCAATATTGTAGAATCCAAGACCTACATCCAAGATCTGTTCTTTGCCTGAATTAGACATGCAATCTTTGCCTGCACATCTTCTGCAGATTATCCTTGTCATAACCTGTATATCTTGACCAATATATTAAATTTGTTTTTCACAGCTCTGATACGAGGAGTAATCTATTGAAAATATCACAAAAAAAGAAGTATTTTAATTGTAGATCTTATGTTCCTCACTCCCCAACTCGGTGCATACTGGATAGAAAGAAGCCATTAAAATCTCACGAAGTTAAAACGCCTAGCAAGAATAATAACTTCTCCAATATAACTTCCCTGTCATCATTAAGTCTTAATTCTGAATTGGAAATTTTGTGAAATTTCTTTCTGTGAAAAACAAATATATATAATAAGGTAAAATAAAAAGAAAACATACATTCTAGTTTATCTTCAGGTCTTCCTCTTTCTAGCAGAGACAAATAGCAAACAATATCTTTCAACTGGATCACATCTGGTAACTGTAAGTTGGCAGGAGTAGGAGGTCGGGACGCAGTGGTACCTTTGCTAAGTCTCAAACCTGGAAATAACAGATAGCCCTTGTTACTCTTATCCGTGATACAAATAGAGAATGAAAAAAAGAACTCCTATACACATGCATCTTCGATTCTTTATCTAAATTTCAGAAAACTTCTTAATTAAAATCTGAAATATGAAGTTATTATCAATATTATAATTCCATAGCTTATATGACCAATACATAATTAAAATGATAGTCAGTCTAAAATAGTATGCAGATAAAACAAACTAATGTAAAAAGAAATCAACTATGGAATGGAATCCCTTTTTTCATTTGCCCTGCTGTAATGTGCTTTGATCGTACAGCATCTTTGTTGAGTATTTTTATTTAACTTATATGTTAATTTAAACATTAAAACAGACCCAGCACAACTCTGCATCCACTTCCTTGTGTTATAGCAGTTTCATTGAATTTACAGATTGTCATCAGCTAGACTAATTAAAAGATGATTTTGTGACATCAAAGAGAACTTTGATGACATCCAAATGTTTAGTTTTCTCCCAGTCAGATGCATGTCAAAACAACACATATTTAAGTTGTATAAGCCTTGATCTAAGAATATCATGAAAATAAACACACAATTTAAGTAAGGGTCATAATAATTCCTATCAAAGCATTTCCAGGGTATCAGCTGGAACACAAGTTTCAACAATTATCTTTAATCACACAGTTTCACATAACTGGTTCACATTCAGATCTTATGTGAATCATATGCACCAAACAGAGCTGGACCTAACTCATATACGTATAGCCTTGAATCCAGATGAAAATGAACTTTTGGCTTATTCAAAGCTGCAAGTCAAAGTATTTTTCATAATCTTAGCTGGTAGAAAGGAGGATGCAATACTGACTCATAATGCTGTCACTTACCTGGCATCTGTTTCCATCTCTCTTCAGACACCTTAACTGAAAATGCAATTTATAAACAGAGGTGAGTGGGCAGAGAAACACTAAGCAAAAAGTGGATACATTCCAGATATATTTATGAACCTTATTATGTTTCATGCGATCTTCTCTAGCTCATTCCCTTCCCACCTTCGGAAGAATGTCAGATGTTTCTTTCTCAGTATGGTCATTTTTTCATTATTGGTAATGTTTAAAGATTACTTGATAGCCTGAATGTTTCCATGATTTTCATTTGTACATTAGAATGTACAAAAGCCCAGGATTTTCTCTTTAATCACTACAAATTATAAATACATAAAACCTAGTAAAGATCTAATATGTTTAAATTGCAACACAAAAGCATATTTTCAGGCAAAAATGACCAGTATTCCTAGCATGATATGAACTGAACTGTTTCACCAAACATACTTTGGACATAACCCTGAAAAAACTTAAAATTTTCTTTTCAGTACTACATTGAATACATATGGAGAGCTACAAAACTGGTCTCATGACAGATTATTATTTTAACTCCTTATTAGGAAAAAAAAAAAAGGCTAAAAGGAATTAAAAAGTGGAAAGAGACAGTGAAGGAGAAAGAACAGTAGGCAATATTATAATAAAAATATTGCATACAGTTTTGAAAATAGTAGATGATTCACTTTTTTTTTTTTTTTTTTTTTAAACACACTTAAGGAATAAACTTATCAGAGAATTGTAATAAAAGTGAGAGAAGCTTAACATGGTCTCTACTGGGCAGATTTTATAAATTAGTCTGACAACAATCTAAAAATGGCAGTTAGCTTTTTCTTCACATGAAGTGCCAGAGTCACAGAAAGAAACAAAACACCAAAATGATAAAAGATGACTTTTAGAAATATCTACTCAGACAACATATGTTAAAATACAGTATAATAAATAAACAAATATGTATCAGTGAACGTCAGCTGTTGTTAGAGTTATGAGGCAAAACGTGTTGACTCTAAAAGATTGCAAACTAATGGTGATTTGTACACTGTATGTTTGTAGCGGATGCTGCTCCCTGCGAAAACATCAACAAAAAATAGACATGCTGTAACTGGAAGCAAAATTGTGCTGTTAAGACATTACTGGCAACAAAATCTATATGGCTAAGAGAAAAAGTGCAATGCTGAAAATGTATGACATTCAAAATAGCTATTGCAGTAGACAATACAGACTACATTTACACATGCTAGAAGATCTCTAGAGGTCCCTTCCAACCTTAACGATTCTGTGATTCTATAATTCTATGCCCTGCCCTTAGAGATTCTGTCACAAAGCATCTCTGTGGGCAAGGGACCTTTAAAAGTAGGGCCTAAATTAGTTTCTGAGCATCAGAATACATATTATAGGCAATACATATAACAATAGCCAATAATGCAATATGTCTTTTGGCTGGGATGCATAAAGTTAAGAAGTGGAAAAAAACCCAACTACTGTAAAATTAAGGAAAGAAAAATAAAGGAAAAAATATATTTAGTTGAGAATGGCATGTGGTAATCACAGAAAAAGTTATCATCATAGACTATCCCTTTACCAAAAAGCAAGTCAGATTCAATGGATGATATTTAAAAGTCTGTAATTCTGATTGTATCTAAACATACATGGAAATGTGTCTCTGTAGCATCTACGGAAATTCAAAGTTTGACACTGTAGGAATCAATTTATTTTTTCATCTCATTCCTTGCTAAAAGCAAGTATTTAGTATATTCATAAGTTGTAATGTAACTCAAAACTATCACCTGCATCCCATCAAGACTTTCTGCAACTCAGGAAGTAATGTTTTATCAGTTAGCACTGGTATCAAGTCAACTTCCTGATGAATCGCATTTTGAGGATATCTAATTTTCAAATAAAGATTTCAAGTGAATAAAGACTTTTTTTGTAACTCATTCGAACTGCTTGATCACCTGTTCAAAGTTGGAAATTTATTCCTACTCTAAATTAGTCTAGAACCTGCCATATAGCTACTGAATATTGCTATAGTTCTAAGTCAATACTATTTAAAATGAAGTCTCTGAAATTTAGGAAAATAATATTTTTTTTTATCTGAATTATCTTAACAAATCTTTATAAAACTTAATAAGTCATTTTTTAACAGGATTTATCATGATAGTATGTTTAAAATTTCTCTAAACTAAAAATTGTGCTAAACAGATCACACAGTCTAGCATTAAAAATTCAAACTATATTAGGAAACTGTTCCTCACATTGGGTAAAGAAATACTGCTAGCACTTCTAGGTCAGCAAAACATGAGGAGCTGGTATATTCATAGGATTACTACCAGTATTATCACAATTAGACAACTAAGAGAGGAGTCAGTAAAAGGATAAGGAAAGCTTCAGAGCATACGTAGGAGTTTTCTGCAGGAGCTTCTGAAGGTTTCTAAGCATTTACACAGCACAGTAGGCAGCAGGACCAGATAAACATAGCAATTTAAGCATAGTATTAACATGAAAAAGACTGTCCACTTGGTGTCTCAGCTGCATCACTATTGTGAATTAAAAAGATGAAAGTATTTAATTCTATTCTCTTCACAATAGTCCTGTGTTGACAACTGAGTTGTTTCTCCAAATTCACAAATGATCAAAAAAAAAAAAAAAGAATATAACTATACATAAATCATAATTCCATACATTTATAACTTTCAGAAGTAAATAGTAAGTTGAGAAAATTAATTTCTTGTATTATTGTGATTTTATTACTTACCTCCAGAAAGGAGCTGAGGTTTGTTTTTTATTAAAGGGCTGCAGTGAGGGATTTTGTTGCTGAACGATGTAAAAAGATGTTCAGTGAAGTCATCAGGTAGCTCTGCCTCCAGAAAAGTCTTCATGAACAGCCTGAATCCCTCTAAATCAATTGTCTAAGGTGAAAATATATATAAAGAGAAATTTTATGAACTGTTTTAGAAAAACTTTCATATTAGTGCGCCAAATAACATCTTGTTAACCGAAATGTTATACAATCCTTTAAAATACTGATTTCTGAAGATATAATTTGGATTTTCAATATATATTGAAAACTACTGATTGTATATATATTTATATAGGAGAGAGAGACAAAGGAGAAAGACACACAGCATCTATCAGGACCCTGTAACTCAATGCCATGGGTTTCATTTCAATATGACTTAACTGTACATATAACCCCTAGTCTGTGGAGCTCCCAGGGCTGTGCCTGATTAAGTTTTAACTTTTCCTCTCGTTAGACAGACAACAAGCAGAAGATTTTTGGATTCCAACTGAAAGGTAACTAACTCTTTTTCTAGGTAGCAACATGTTTTCTTGATGTTTGTCAAAGAGGAATTAATCACCCTGTCTTGTCTAAACAGGGTTTCATATGTGTCTGCATTTAAAAAAAAATCAGCCAGCTGGCTACTTTGCCAGCTAGATAGAAATTTATTTATGAAACTTCACGGTTGACTTCTATCTGGTAAGACATTTAACAGTCTTAACAAATAAAATGAATGGAAAATGTTTTGATTGCATTTAATCCTAATAATACATAACTACTAGAAATAACAGTGTGATGAAGCATATCATAAGTTCTTAACACAATTTCACTTTCATCTCTCAATAACTGTGATAAAATCAAACACTTAACAATGAGGCGGCTTTGTTACATATATGATAAATAATAAAACACGCTTAGCATTTCTTAATTATCTGAAAAATATAATACTGTTGCTGTATTTGTTTCTGGCTCAAACAGAACACTAACTTTCCACCTTTGACTACGTCTCAGATAAAGTCACGTTTTATGGCAAATTCAAGGTGAGAAAAGCTCTCCATGTGTAGGGAAGTCTCTACATGTTTTCCTGAAAATACCCTGGTGCAATAGTACAATGAATGCAACATTAGCAAGCAGAACATAAATGTCAAAAGCAAAACAAAAGTGGAAGCCAAATAAGTGCCTCGGTAACTTGGGAATTGGAGTCACAGTCACAATTATGTTAAATTATTTGTAAAAAATACTTCATAGCAGAGATTTTTTTTTCTTCTCCTCATCTCTCTCTTTTTGATGAGATGAAGAAGTTTTGTTCGGTATGTATGAAACAAGGTTTTTCCATGAAGAGCAATAAAACTGCTCCAGGGAAATAATTTAGTTGTATGTCATTCTTCTTACTAGGGGGCAACAATAAAGATTGCAAAATCTGACTAATTTTGTGCAAGTTTACTGACTTACTGGGAATATAAACTTGGCAAGAGGGCATCTCTGTAGAGGTTCTAAAACAGAACACCTTTTTCAACAAAGGCGCTCAGTGAAACCACTAAAAATCCTATCTATTGAACGTAAAAATAGCAGAAACTGGAGGAAAAAAAAAAGCATCTTGAACATGTAGTAACCATCTTTCTGTCATTCTAGTAGAATTTCAGTCATTCAGCCATTCTACATTTACATTTATACATTTACAATTTATGCTCCATTTCACTTATGCTGAAAACTTTCTAAATGTGTTCCTCAATAACAGCCATTGATATTTGATTCAATCCTTATAAATTTTGAAACCACAAAGGCAAAAGAGCAGTATCCAAGCAAACCGCCTATCAGTTTACACTATATATATATATATATGCATATATATATTTATCTGACAACATAGTACATATACCAATCTCTAAATTAACTAATATTAGAAACCTAAAATTATACTGTTAGCTTGTTCAGTAATGAAATATATCTTAGAAATTTCATTAAATTAGGTATAAAGAGGTATAACTGAGCTAAAAGTGAAACAGAAAAACAAGCTACAATCTCAGTTAAGGTTTATGGATGGATGTATTAAAATCTCTCTGCTTCATAAAGTTTTATTTCATTTACTCTGTCCTCAGTTTTTAGGCACACACCTTCCTGCTAAAATATTCCTTGAATTGACAGCTATCTTAGATTTTTAAAGAGCTGCCCCTATAACCATATTGCCTGAGTAATAGTAGTTCATCAAGGGCAAAAGGTTGGTTAATAAATAACATTAACATTCTTTTTCTCAAAGAGGTTCTATCCGTTCAGCGTTTTCTAAAGACTACCAAGTTATCATTTACTTGGAGTTTCCTCTAAAGCAAATGTTCCAAGCTGTCTTATATTTTCTGTCCATGAAAGGCAATGTATATCAAAGAAACACAACTCAGCTGCCAAATCCATGTATTATACTTGATACCCTGGGTGCCGTTGATTAGGGTGCCTGGCAAAGGCAAATGACAGGCCAAGGGAGGTGTTCTACAGCCAGAGCTCATCAGCTCAAAGTGCTTTGGGGCCTATATTCTCCTAGAGAAACAAACAAAAAAAAATCCTAGAGTAGAGAGAGCTCTGATAGTGTACAGCCAAAGGCCTTCAAATGAAGCTGGGAGTTGTTTAGGGACTTGGCTATGCATCAGGCATGATTCTGGCACTCTTTCACTGAATAACATTTTTCTAGAGGACCTAAAAAAAAAACAAGTTAGGTAGCATAGACATATAGATAATCTTAATAAGAATTGACCTCTAAAGCAATGCAGACATTTTTGAATCTTTTTTTTTCCTAAATGAATCTACAATAAAGACGTAGCTTGGTAATGTATCTACAGAAAAGAATAGAGCTGAGGAACAGGAAACTGTAGTAGGATCTAGGACTAGTTTAGATTAGCCTTCTAGTTGACAAATAAAAAATGAGAGAACCTTCAAACAGAGCACATTTTAAATTATTCTTAGTACTTTCTCTTCCATATCTCTCTCACTGGAATATACATAAGGCATTACATAACAGCAGAATACCAAAAGAAATTTCTTAGAAGAAATCCTGTGAGAACCACAGCAGAAGATTCATGTTATTGGTGCTAAAATATTACCAAGTACCTATTTGGTACTATTATTGCATCATAAATCTTCATAATCCTTTATAAAGCTTTGTAAAATTTCTTTCAGTTTTGGCTTATAAAACTGCACTTGGTAATATCACATGTTGGTATCAGATCAAAGAAGTATTCATTCAATAACACTATCAAGTTATGGTATTTAAATCACAATGTCTCCATAAAATTATTTTTCCTACTATTTTTACAAGGAATACATCCTTTCCCTGTTATACCATTTAGCAATGTTTCCTATTCCTTCAGTTTCAAAAACATGGTATATATATCTAACTTTGAGAGAAAGAGACAAGAAAGGATAGACAGCAAAAGTAAAACTGAAGTTCTGGTTTTCCGTTTCTTTTCAGCAAATAAACCTGTCAATCAATCCTTAAACTTTTTAGCTTGTCTTGAAGCACACATTAAACTGGATTCACTATGACTCAGGGCAGAGGCAAATTAAAAATATGCATCTTTCTTATGTGACAATTTGTCAGAGACAATCCATAACATTTAATTAAGCACCCATAAAATTTCAAAATTAATTCCAGCCCAAGCTGCCAACAAGAATATAATTCATAGGTGTTGTTTTTTTCCTTAACCTCCCCCCACACAGATCTGCACTATATTGAAAAGTAGAAAAAAAAACAATGTTTTTGATCAGTTCTAGATGATTGACTGAGTTCCAAAAGGAAGCTATCTTGATTTGCTCCAGCTCATCCAAAGGTGTAAACGACAACTTTACAGAAAAGGCATTCTAAGGGGTCTTTTGCACAGTATCAGTTGTGCCCATTTCAAGATACACTGTGAAATTGCATTGCTTTTACCTCACAGCACTGTAGACCTTAGTCTACAGAGTAGGAAATATCTTATTCCTTTTTGTAACTAATGAGAGCAGAGCTAACTACAGCATAATACGAACAATATGGGGCAGTTCAGAAAAAAAAAATCTAAAGTTGGAGTTCAATATTGATGCCTTTGTTTGTACTGGAATCCTGAAGGACTCTGCCAATTGCTACTAATGCAGCACTTATATCTGGAAAACCCTTTAGTTTTCTGCCTTAAACTTCTTAAAGGGTCTGCAAACATGTTTCTCAAAATGAATAAAATGTTCCAGCTGTGACAGAGGTGTTCACTCTTTATCTTACGTTTAAGACAGAATAAATATCAGGATACCCAACTAGACCTGCATTATTGGGTCTAATTTTCTGCATTCACAAAAATACCTAAAAAAAAAAAAAAAAAGGCTGTGCACCAAGTGCAGTGGAGACCACAATTTCATTTTGAAAGCGCAGGAGTAACAGCTTTTCCAATATTTTGCAAAAAAAAAATCTCCTGGTTAGAACATATGCATGGGGTGGGGTGCCTTGGTCAAGCTCCTCTCTTTGCTTGTGAAAATTCAAACTTGCCTCTCTCTTAATAGAGGCTGTTTAAACATCAGAAAAGAGCTGACAGAAAAAAAAAAAAAAAGGGGGGGGAGGGGATGGTTGTCTCTGTAGGTCTATTCCAAAATTCCAATAGATGATAAAAGTTTACTTGCAAAATTATTATTGTACAAACTACTGAAAGAATCCTCAGAATAAGGAGGTACCCAGAGCACATCCAAGCAACCAGGCTGTTTGGAGAGATGTATCATTTTGGATTTGGGCTTCTGTTAAAAGAAGCAAAACTAATGTATGCTAAAAGAAACAAAATACATATATAAATATGTATATGTGTCTGTTTTTGTATGCATACATATATATTATGTGTATATAAATTATCTACAAAACAATGAGGTAAACAGCAATTATAGATTGTTCGCAGAGGCCACTCAGCACCCCTAGGACTATATGCCATCTGTTATGCTGTTTATATTTTACAATTACACATCAGAAATTCTGTGTTTGCTGAAAATCCTTAACAGCTTATTTCAAGGTTGATACCATGAACTTTCATATACAGAAAGTTCCATCTGAGCAAATATCCTCACTTTCTTAGGTGTAAGAAGAAGCATTTTTCCAACGCTGAAACAAGGCAGGTCAATCTGTTTTATTTCCAG